TTACCAATTAAGTAAGCCACAACTCGATGGTATTTTTAGCACCTGCAGGGCATGGACGCAAAATAGCTCTACTCTGATAGGTCGAACAAAGCATGTTCAAATATCACCGGATATAATTATATCAGAATCGAATATACTAAAATCAGCAGATATGCTTATATCCGTAGATGTGTAAAGTAAAACTTAACCATGGCATAATCGGTTTACTTGAGAGTTGCTAGTTTTAAATTCAGGTTACTAATTTTTACTAACTGCTATCACCTCTATTCCTGTTTTGTTCCTTTTCCTTCGCCATAGTGGATTTCATATACCAGAGTGTAAATCGTTTAATCCCTTCAGAGGGGGGCCATCGATGTTTTGCGATCTCACGGGGATCACTCGAAGAGGGCAGCTGAACATAGCTACGTGTTCAGTCAATGGCATTTTCGTCTCTCTACGTTCCTGTATGATATCTCTCACAGGTGTTGTTGCCTGATACCTCCATTGGGTATACGGGCGCAGAGCGAAAAATCCAAAACATCTTACTGTAATAATTCTTTAATATTCTTTAATAATTCTTTCTGTAGCAGATAGATTACGCTTCTCATTTCCGGTCAACGACCATGTTTCGCAGTCATGCAGCATTGCCAGCAATTTGATAGTGTTTATAACATAGATACGCGCTTATTTGTCTGAATAATCCTCGATAGAGTCATACGACCATCTGCTTATATCTTTCTGCGGTATACTTAAGCCATTTGTGATCGCATAATATGTTAACTTCATCGCACAAGTACACGTAGTTTTCTACCGGCCGTGAGTACCCTCTTCATTAGCCTTTGTGTGTACTTTATCTTTGATTGGCTGATCTTAAATTCGACTTTAAAATTTTACAACTTCTTTGTTGAGGTCTTGCCGCATTTCTTCCAGTTCTGGAGTTCTTTGGACCATCTCTACGACGACACCAGAAATTTTGGAATGGCTCAGTCGCTCTCCGTTTATCTTTATTCTTCCCTTCCCCTCTCCTAGGCTGAATGCCATTTCCAGGCCAAGAGCGTTTCACACATATTGTGTCTTTTTGCCTAACTCTCTTGTGCAATGTGATCCGGAAAGTTCAGAAATTAGAGTGAAACTCGTCGTCTATCATGGTTTCGCTTACTTCAGCAGGTTAACGGACAGTTTGTCGATGCCCTGCTCTGCCAGTGCTCTTCAAACCGCCTTGAGGTCGACTGAGTCAAACCCCCTTTGCATAATGGACGAAGTCAACGCACATGGGTAACATGTGTTTTCTCGCCAACATTTTAATGGTTGGGCCAAAGTAAAGATGTTGCCCTCTGTGCCAACATTGTTTACAAAGCCGGCCTGCTATCCCTGCTGTTACTCTTACAAACTGTTGACAGTCGATTTGTTAATATTTTTGTGAACATCATGTAGACATGTGAGAACAGACATACGGGGAAAAGATTTTTTAGATATTTTCGATCACCTTTCTTGCATCTTACAATTGTAAATGAATCTTTCTAGCATGATGGAGCCTTCATGAAGGAGTTTTCAAACTCCCGTCTGTTCATGTCAGTTGTCAAGTCAATCCCTCTCTTCCTGAAGCCTTGTCTCATTTTGCCTGATGAGCCGCATGTCGAATTTCGCTCATAAGGATAGGAAGTGAGTCGTCTGTCGTCCAAAGCTTTGGGCGTGCGTGCTGGGATCCTGAGCCTTGGAGCAGAAAGCTTATGCAAAACCGTCTGCAAATAGCTTCTCAATATTAACTTCTTTCGTTTCACGTTCTTTCACAATCCTTGTTTTTCAAAGTCACGACAATTGGTATGCAAAAGACCAACTGATGCATCTTATTAGGCCTCTACAATCTTCAGATAATTTAATAAGTTTTTCCCTTTCGAAATTTCTCGGTGTTCTTCGAATTTGCGTCTTATACGCTTGCAGAGTAGAGAGTGTTCTTTCTTATCATTGCCATCTGTCTTCATACTTCATAACTCTTCTCTAAGAGGCTTATAAATGTCTGTGATTAATTAACTGTTGTTCAAAGAGCTTAAATTGTAGAGCAGAAACCGAGTACGCTAATTTTCTAGAATTACTTAAATTTTCAATGCGTAAAATTATAAATTATAATTTAAAAATGATAGTCTAGAACAAAAATAAGCCACTCAAACAGACGCTGCTTCATTTCAAATATCAATTATCATCTAAAAATAGAAATCGAATTAATGTAGATAAACTGTATGCAACCCTCGAAGTCTTTATGAGGGAATGCAGTGCAAAATGGCAGAAATATGGCATTAAGTGACACTACGTACATACGTTAGTAAATTATGTAATTAATAGCTGTTAAATTAAACAGTTAATTGATGATATGCAAGCAATTTCAAATAGATTCTGAAAGTCATATCAAAACTTGCCTCGGATGGCCAAAAGCATTATTTGTAGCAAAGAAAAAACAGCTTTATATGATTGTTAGGATTTCTGTTGAATAGATGACATGTGATCAAAATACTGATGCACTGAATTAACTGCATTTTTAACTGTTTTCCCCTTCTAATCATTGAATCAACAAACAATTTTTCCTAATTAAATTATCTCCTAATTCTTAAACAACTGTTAGAACACAAGTTTTCCTGCAAAACGCTTATTGAAGTGAGGTATCGACCGAATATCCGAATATACTTACGCTCAACAAGCACCGGACTGAGGTTGGTTAGCCCAGGTGCTGGTTTCAGCTGGCTTCTCCAATCTGACTCAGTCTTTCACGAAACTTTAAACATCGCGACGAAGCATCAGTGATGAATATGATATAAGGATATATTTAATTATTCATTCATTCATATAGATGCTATGGTCGAGAGTCATAATCCGTCCGTACAACGAATTTGCTTTTCAGTCAAGACTGCAAAAGTGCGGTTTTTACCGTATCACTGATTAACAGTCAGCTTACTTCAAAAGAGCCGGCATAAGCACAAATATGCAGGAGACACTACTGAGGCTTAGAAGTAATTCAGTAAAGTGTTGTATTGCGGATATGAACTGTTTTGCCCATACCGGCACTCTAAACTCCACTGCCCCTCCGGGAGGTGCACCACTCAAAACGGCATCACATAGATGCAAGAGTTAAACAGGCCGCGGCTCATGGGTATTGGGTCACAATCGTTGGATTGAATGCACAACTGTAACATGAGCACCAACTAAATCTGCCATTTTCCGTATGCAAGTACATAAACAAGACACATATTAGTTATGTAATTGACTTTAAAAGCTCGTTATTCTTTTACGGTATTCGGGAGGCTTTGCAGGAGATCTTTCAATGAGGCTGGCTCCGTGCCGAACGGTCGGTCTAACATGCGAGCTTGCCAGACCTTGCATGGAACCGAAATTACTGATCCGTGGTCTGCTGTTATTCCTTTGTCTTTTATGTCCTTACGAGTCCGTCCAGCGACACGCTCATCAATATTCTCTTAAGCATGTGGCCATAATTGGCCGTACTTGAGTGTCATGTGAATAAACCGACCATTTTCAAATGCCGGTATGCAGCGCAGAAGTAAACATTTGAATGAGCGACTAGTGGGTGCTAAGTTAACAAGCTTGATCATGGTAATTAGAGTTTCAGACCTTACAATTGGATGGTGCCCCAAGTTGCACCATCAGTTAAAAATTGCTTTTGTCACCGATCCTGAAAGGGGAAATCCTAACAATAATCCTACAGCACACAGATAGTGAACATTGACATGCTGAAAAAAACTCATTACTACAATTGGTGAACTGAGTAGCAGCTCAGTGTATACTGTATAGACGGCTTATAAAAAATAGAATTATTTATTTCGCATTAATGCCATAGGCCTCGAAAAAACTTTGGAATTATAGGTCGAGTGCGACGAGCGCTTATACGTGTGAATGTGTCTGAAACCAAATACCTAATGCTTTCCCGATCTCTAGTCCGTTGAGTTCTGCAGATAGACAGGAGAGCAGTGGAAGAAATGGAGAACTTAACGTATCTCAGGGCCATGCCTACTGGTGACGGAACATATGAGGAAGAGAATCGGGATGACCAGCTGCGTTCTGCGTGAATTGTCACTGATTGATCTGAACTGTTATGACCACGGCAGAGCTGAATCTAAGAAGCTGTTTATTTCCGATATGTCAGATCGATTTTGGTTCATATACTCGTCTATAGTAATGAGTCATGAAGAGTCATAATGGTAGACTGCGTGGTCGGGTACACGAGGCTAAAATGGGCGCTCTGGAATGAACCGCTCGGCTTAAATATCTGTACAAAGTCCGGAGTTCAGATACCCGAGTAGACTTTGGTGCATAGCCGCTGCTTCTCCAGATTGAGCAGTCACAGATAGGATGGTTTTGGCACGTCTTGTTAACGCGTCCTGAAAGGAAAACAAAACAGCTACACTCTGCTCAACCGAAGACTAATGGGAGGCCAAGAATCAGTTATACCTCTTCCTCGAGAGACTCTGCTTCAGACAGGGGTTAATTTCGGTCGAAGCAAACGTGTTGGCCAGTGATCGTGAGCGACGGAACACCTTCTGCGGCTGATGTATCCACGACCACCAAAAGGGAGATGCGGCCATCCAAGTTGACTGACTGATTTTGTATCAAACAACAACAATGTTCTCACTCAGTCACTCGTCACAGGCTTTGAGGATAAATCGTAACGGTTGGAAAGTACCCAGTGCGTCGAGCCTCACTCCAGCCTGCGACAAACAACAAATATAAACTTCAGTCACCTACTGGAATCTGATGTGGCCCATTTGAAGTTCTACCTGGCTAGCGATGCGTTCTGTGGTTGTAGGTGGGTGTAAAGTGGTGTAAATTTTATTCTTAAAACCCTCCTGAGGTCGAATGGCCCAGCAATGGAAACGACCTCTCTGAAGCCGTGCTTGGCGTATCGTTCAGATCCGTGGTGCGTTTGGCCATTTTTAGCCAAAAGTGAGACCATCGGGGTCCACGACGACGGAAGCTCGTGGCCATGAGCTGACCGTTAGACCGGCCAGAAAAACACTTCACCAGCGTAAGCGACCGACGGAGAGCGCTTCGATTAAAAGTTGGCTCGGAAGTAGGTATTGGTAACCGGTTGGCAAGCCGCTCAGTGGTTCGCGGCGTTCGTCGCTCCATCGATCATACGTCCCCCCACTGCGAGGGAATCGGTGGCACGGCAACGGCCGCGACGCACAGATGACCTGGTAGCAAGCGATGCGGAAAAACGGCAGTCTTGGGGTGAAAAACATCCCTCTACGGCGGCAGGCAGATCGAACGGAGGAATGGCCGACTCTGGCTATCCATCCACCACCGTAACCAGTAGCTGCAGTGATGAGGAAGACACCAGTTTTTGCAGAGGTGATCGATCGTCGAAGCAAATTAATTCGGTGAGGCAGATGCGCCGAACAACAGACCGTTTTTCACCGATGCAATACGTAACGCTTAGCGGCCTGAACGGTCACGGTCTCCTGCCTACTTCGCTCAGAAAATGAACCTCGTCTGTTACCCTGACTCTGCCCCAGACCTTAGTGTGATATAATATATAACATATGCATATGTAATATCTCGTGGCAATTAATGTACCGAACAAGTTATGGATTCGAATACGCAATAGTCTGATCGATTAAAGTTTTAATGAGTGCTTCTCACCTCTTTAAAATACGTTCGAAAGTTTCACTGTAATGGAAGCATCAAGATTTTGTAGGTCTTGACGAAGTTCATCTTACTGACAGAGGTCCATTCTTCAGCAGGTCAAACGCTTGCTGTCATTCTTTGACCAGTTGCAGACCGACATTCGGTCAGGCCAGTCGCTGTATTACTGAAAGTCTCCGATTGAAATGATGGATTCCAAGGAGTACAGGAGCCGTTGTGTGACGATTGAAAACTCGGTGTTTGCACGCCACTCGCCAATAATATCTTCACCTGACCAAAACCTCAGAAAGAGCTCTGCTTCTGTGAATCCGCTGGAGGGAGGACGGATGTCGGCAACTGATCATGAGGGTGCACCGTTATTGCGCTGCCGAATAGCCATTCGCCACGAAAAGCGTCCACTTTCACTCATGGCGTCCCACAACGCGTTGCAATTACAAGTAAGCACGGCGAACAACTACCAAAGGTTGTAACTTAAAGGATCAGTGATGACGGGCGTCGCTTGCGGAAAACGTCACTTTACAACAGCTTGACAGAAAAAGTTCACAAGTCCGACTGCGAATCAATCAGTTAAAGACGAGTACATAGTCATTATATATGCCTTGCTGAAGACCCAGGAAATATTAAACGACGAAAAGATGGAAGAAATACTTTTTTCTGGGCCAAGAAATCAACCTGAGGCGTGATGAAGCTGGTGAGGTTCACGGCGCTCTTTCGATTCCATCAAGGACGTCCTCCCGTACTATATCACGAAAAAAACTCGCTCCAAATTCTTCAATTTTACCCTCCTGTTGGCAACGCTGAATGACTGTGAAACGTAGTCGCTTACTGAAGCCAAACAGCGTCAGCTGTCTGTCACCAAGGGGGTGAGGGAAAGAAGAATGCTGAAAATCTGACGTCGCAACCACAGCCCAAACACGGTGATGATACCACGGAAGAGATATGTACCATTGTGCAGTATGCGAGGTACAAAACGATTTTATTTAAACCTCACCCGTTATTATGTCTCATTCAGCACTTCAACTGCCGGCTAGAAAAATCTACATATGCACAGAAAGCGATAACAACAAAATGTGACTGTGGTACTTTCTGAGGGTCACTCTTGGCTGCTGAAACATGGTACATCAACGACTGGTTGTTAAAAGTTTTTCCATTCATCATCACTACAGAATGCTTTTGGAGGCAAACATACCCCGCCCCCTCACATAACGCCGTCCCCGTCGGTCCCGCAAATGCTGTTCGACCGAATACTGTAATAATGTCCGGCATTACGCCATTGGGATTTACCAAATATCATGGTATAACCAGATGTAATGAGTTGTGCTGTGTGGGTCAAGCACCAGCACAGTACCGTTACGAACCAGCTTCAGTTGCTTTCAAACCTAAGGTCATAAGGCTGTGAAGCTTTTGGGTCGAAAAGCACTCTTATTGTGCTCAAAGATGTGTTTTCTTCGGACTGCAAACGCACGCACCGCGGGTGCACAAATGCAACTGAACCAATTGTCCCCAGGCCTGTACAACCAAGTGGCTATACGTATACTTTGAAGCCGGAGTAATCACTTTCGACAGTATTAGTGTAAACAAAACGTAGGTGGTGTTAAACATAACGTCGTCGCAATGTCATACAGTTCGACTGAGGAGCACGCATGTCGCTGGATTCAACACTGTAATGCTTGGTAGATTCGCAGGTGCTCAAACACTGTATAGCCTTATAATGTTGGAAGAGAGCTTTCTGCCTCTAGATTTGCAGAAGTCGGATAACCAGGTGTAATGACCTGCATGAGTCGCCGCAGTATCGGCACAAAATACTCTAGTTGGTTTAGAAACAGTCACATATATGTTAGTGGAATGTCTTTTG